AAAATTGTTTAAATATTGAAAATTAAATATTTAATAAGCACAAATATAATAGTAACATTATTATGTTACTATGTATGTATAATATACGAAATTAATAGTATATTTGTATTAGGAAATTAAATTCGGTTTCGTCGAATTTTCATGTTTGGTTCAGTACAAATTCGGATTGAAATGACCATGTATGTGACTCGTAAAATTTTAATATGTGTAATAGAAAGCATAAGTGTAGTAAAAGAGGGACTGTTAATGAGTTCGGACTTTAAACTGTGTTTTTCTAGAAAATCTTTTAAGATTCTTCGTAGAATTTTTGTAATTAAAATTTGTTAATTAATTGTAAAAAAAATTAATAAATTATTGATAACTACAATTAATAGAAATTTTTAAATGTAAAATAATTTTCCAATTCTTAAACGCTTGAAATTTTTTCTGGTATTAACCAATATGATAACAATATGAGTTCAATAAATCTGGGCTTTTTAATAGTTTTTCTTTGTTTTAATTAAAATTTGGTGCAAATATCGATCAATAAGTACATTATACTATCATAATAAAAATTATATGTTACCATTCCATAAAATTATTTTAGCATTATTCCTCCTCTCACACATTTTACCTTATTAAAACTGAAATCAATCAGAAATAATATTTTTGAGGTAATAGTACATCATTAATATGTAATACATCCTTATGAAATTATTATTATACACACAAAAAAATCGCATGGTTAACTCACAGGTTGCAGCAACTATAATATGGTTAAAATCTAAAAACATGGTTAAAGTCACCATATTTGTCGAAACACATAGTTAATATAACCATAACCACCATATTTTCAACCATAGTCCAAATTTTATATGGTTAACTTTGAGTTATTTAAAAAAAAAATCATTTTTGTACATAAGAACAACCATATTTTGGTTATTTCAACAATAATGCATGGTTATTTTCAATCATATTATGGTTGAATATAACCAAAAATATGGTTGGATCTAACTATAATATGGTTGAATTTAACCATAATATAGTTGAATTTTTATCATAATATGGTTAAAAATAACCATATTATGATTGTTTTTAACCACAGTATGATTGTTTTCAACTATAATATGATTGATTTTAACCATAGTATAGTTAACTTAACCATAAAATGGTTCATGTCAATGTAGCGCCTTTAGTTTTGAGTTTAACGCATGTGTATTAGTAATATTTCTTTTAATAAACGTCAATAATTTTTTTATGATTGTCCGAAATATGAATACTTTGAAGTTGTACATAAACATGTTTTCGACATTTCAAATTCAAAATGAAATTTTTTTTATGCTTTACGAAATAAATTTACGTTTTGCGAAAAATATGTAGATTTTTAGAAATTTAAACGAAATAAATTTTTTTTAAATTCTCATTAAATTATAATATATTTATTGCTTTCCTTAGGTTTCGCATAAGAATAACAATGTTTTTACTGCATAATATAAGAATAACAAGATTTCTTATGGCACATATCAAGTTGTGCTAAAAAAGGAAACCTTTGTTGAAAAAGTGAAAAAAATTTTACCTGATATGAATAATCGCAAAATTTTGGATACTTGAAATGAAAAATATTTAATTTTTATCATATTTCTCAGGTGTTGTTTAAAATCTAGAAAAATGTTTGGGCTTAGCGCTGAAAATATTAAACTCATTTTGTTTTGTGAAAAACTGGGGGATTTTTAAGAGATTTGAAAGAAAAAAAACATTCTTCATTCTTTAGATAAAAGTCAAATATTTTTCCACAATTTGAATTTTGTAATTTAAAAACGAAATTTTAATTTTTTTGCTTTATAACTTAAAATTTAGTACTTGTTCAAAAAAACATAGGACTTTTAGTTTTTATATAAAAATAAATAATTTAGTAAAATTCATGTAAGAGTTTCCTAAGTTTTCAAATTATGATGCAGTATTTTCGCTTTTAAATTTATTTCATATGCATATGCATACACTATGGTTAAAATAACCATACATGGTTGATATTCCTAACGGGACCTTTAAATAAGCGTCAACAGTTTTTTATGATTGCCTGAAATACATATGTAAATACTTTGAAGATGTACATGAATAGGTTTTCGACATCTCAAATTCGAAATATAAATTTTGTTTTATGTTTACGAAATTTTTCTGTTTAACATTTAGAGCAAAATATGTAAATTTTTTGGAGATGTAAATAACTTTTTTTTTTAAATTATCATTAAAAATCATATGTTTTTTGAAGTTTGGAATAATTAACTATAAAATTTTTTAGTCTTTCTTTGGTTTTACATAAAAATAACAAGAATGCTCATGTTTTGTGTGTCAAATAATAAGTTAATTACGATTTGCTATATAAAAGCAGAATTGTTCAAAAAAGTGTAAAATTTTTTGTAGACATTAAACGACAATCCTAAATTTTTAACATTTTTAAGAAAAACATTTAAATTTTATTATTTTTCTTAGATTTCTGTGAAAGTTAGGAAAAAAGGTTTATGTTTAGCCTTAACTACAAAGTTATATTAAATTTTTTATGTTTTGCAAAAAATTTGTAGACTTTTTAAAGATTTAAGAGAAAAGAGATGTTTTTCTTTTGATTCTCATTAAATCATATATGTATTTATTGAGTTTTAGAATCAGAAACGGAAAATTTCTCTGTTTTTCTTAGATTTTACAAAAAAAAAGAAATCTCTCGTTTCGTATAGCAAATACATTACGATTTGCAAAAAAAATACCGCATTGTTTAAAAAATTAAAAAACTTTAAAAAACTAATGCGAAAATCGCAATTTTGACATTTTTATTGAAAAACAATTAATTTTAACTTTTTAAATACTATTTTCAGATTTTGTGTAATAACTAGCAAAATTTATTTTAAAAAAGTATAAAATTTCATAAAACATAAGATAAAGTTTCCAAAATTTTTAAATCATTGCACTTTTTATTTTCGTTTCATAAATCCCTCTAGTTTATGGAGGTACATTTTAAGTATACGTGCGCATAAAAAACACGTGATTTTGAAATTAACCATGTTATGGTTAATATTAACTATGCTATGGTTAAAATAACCATATTATGGTTGACCATATTATGGTTCAACCATAGTATGGTTGGTTTTAACCATAGTATGGTTAACATTCCTAACGGAACCTTCTTGTTTTTACATGGTGACGCTTTTGTTTTTGAGTTTTGCGCGTATGTATTAGTAACATTTCATTTAACAAGCATAAATAATATTCAGTAAGTGTTCGCGATTCAAAGCAACAGGTTCATATTAGAAGTATTTAAAGTGCAAAAATTTTAAAAAAGTTTTAAGTGAATTTCTGTAAAGTGAAAAATTGTTTAAAAGACTATTAAGAATATATTGTATATTATTTAAAATTCAAGTGTAGTTTTCAGTGAAATAAAATTTAAAAGTATAAATTGAATCATTTAATAAAGTTTTATTTGCTCAAGTAATCAAATTTGTGTATAAAAATAACTTGAAATAATTAAAATTCATTATAATTCTAAAAAAAAATCTTAAATTTTATTTAAAGTAAATAGAAGTTTCAAGTTATTGAAAATAAAAATTTCATTATGGACGTAGCGGTAAGTGTTATGAAGCAGTGTTGAAAAAAATACAGTAATCCTTAAATTTACGATGTTTTCAAATCACTCCATTTTTATGAAAATAAAAACTTACACCATGTATACAAAAAACTTAACAGAACTTACAAAACAAAAAAATTAAAAATTTGCAGTATATTTCAAATTTAAGCGGTAAATTTAATTCGAGAAACAATTATCTTGATAACGTATATCAAAACCAAGTATAAAAGAGCGACGTAAATCTAGGGATAACTGTACGTACTTTTGTAAATTAGTTTTCTGTTTTACATACATTGTATAATGTGAATGTATGCTAAAAGTGTATTTCGACAAACTTTTTTATTTTAAATAAATAGGCTACTTTATTGATTTGATTCGACTTTATTAGCCATGACATCTTTAATAATAATAAAATAAAAATATGTAGCTTTTAAAGAATGATAATGAATCAAATTTTATGAACATAGTAATGAATTAAATGTGGTGGAATTGTAATATGTTGTGTTTGTTTGTATAGTAGTAAAAATAATTCAGTATTTCGACTAAAACATTAAGAGAAAACAAAATTCCTTTTTAAATTATTTCACAAATTTATGTACTAATTTATAAATTGTAAATAATACGTGAATTGTAAACTGATTCTTAATTATATATTTTTTTAATTACAACAGTGTAAAAAGGTTTTTTTGAATGTAGCACGAGGAGATGTTAAAAAAACAGTCAAACTAACTATGGACAAGTCAAAATATATAAATTTGAATGAACTAAATGATGCTGTAAAAATCAAATTTAATTTTAATGAGAATCCAATATACACAAGTGAAGTTGGCGATGTTCTTGATCCAGAGGATGTCGTAGATTATATTTATCAATACATGGAATCTCCATCGTTTGTGTTGCAAATAAAAGGTTTTATCTAATAAAAATTCATAAAATTAAATTTTTTACGTATGTATATAAAAATTTAACCACATCCAATTGAAATAAATTTTAAGCTTTGATGTAACGCGTTAAATTTACAAAGGAACAAAAGGACGCGCAAAACTCGTGTTTCCCATTTAAGTTTTAAATTTATCTTGCTTAAAAAGTGTAATTTTATTTGAAAAGAAAATTGTTTTTTTTCTGTTCATTATTGTTTTTTAATATTTTATAAAATTATAACGCACTTACTGTAAAAAAGCCAGTTATCCTATAAAAAGAAATTCATTAGAAAGCTATCTTCTTTTAAATTAATTTTATTTAAAAATTGACCGGTTTTTGTCTACAAATATAAAATATTTTTGCATAAAAAACTTTTTAAAATTAAATTGAGTGATTACAACTTTAATTTAAAAGTAATAAACAGAATACACGCAATTTCGTATAATTAATAGAATGTTTTTATGAAATATAAACTACTTATGTTTTTTCAGGTTCTCCATTTGAAACAGATAATAATTCAGTAGAAATATTAAACGAGCTTGCAGTTGTAAATGCATCGACTGTGCAAGAACCTTCATATGTAATCGAAAATTTGTTTAATACCTTGATTACAGAAGAGGTACAAATATTTTTTTATTTTTAATATCATTGGATTTAAGCAAAATATATCTTTTTTCCAACACTCAAAGGACTTTAAATTATTTCTTAATTTCGAGTGCAAAGATATTATTCAATCATACAAAGAGAAGCAATTATTAGGACGGTATGACAGAATAAATTTAAGCAAAAGTATTATCAATCATCTTTTAAACGTGGATCCTTATATGAAGTGTGTTAAGATTCAGAATGCAGTTAAATGTTGAACTACTAGTTATTTTACACTTTTTTTATTGTAGTATACGAAAAGAAGATTTTGAAAGATTGGCTTCTTATATTGTGAAAGCATTTCCAAACGAATCAAAAGATTCTTACTACACAAAATATTCAACTGGACGTTTGGCTTCTGGTAAATTATATGATGCATATACAAATGCAAAAACCAAATTAGCTAAAAAAGGTTTGATACATCGCAGAAGTCGCTCTAAGAGTCTCTCATCTACTTGTACTGAATCAACTTTAGTTTCACCTATTCACCTTAACTTAGGTATGTATATATATATTTCTAATTTCAATTCCCTCAATTTGTTAATTTTATTTATATCCAATTAAGATAACGATCAATCGACAATACTGGAAATTGTCGAGGAAATTTCAGCTGCTTCAACAATTTCGGACGAATTGCGGTGCAAATGGGAGATCACATTTGATCACCGATGTATGCTATTAGAAAAGGATACTCCAACTTCAGAGTACATCGATAAGTTTTCTGTGTTGAAGAGCGGAGCAGGCTATGAATTGGTAAGAACTTTGCAATTTTCAAAGCAGATTTCATTTAAAGATAAAACAATATTTTTTATAAAGTTGGTTTTAGATGCTGAAAAACGGTATGGAACCAAAATAGTACCAAAGATAACTGAGAAAAATATTCAACTCATTATTAAAGAAGCCCATTTAAGTAGGAACTTGAAAACTAAGGAAATATTAAAGGCTTTGGAGAATGAAACAGACGGTAGAATATTTTTAAAATATGTATTATTATCATACATTTTGAGAGTTATTTACTTTCCGTTACAGATAGTAAAAGAAAATGTTGGGCTCTTTTGATTTTGCCATATGTAATACCAGTTTCAAATATTAAGCGAAAGTTGTCAACAAAATTGTACAGGCCTTCAAAAATTGAAACTCAAGAAGCGTTTATAGCACATTATAAGGTAAATAAAAATTTTAATCATTTAAAAATTTGGAAAATATAAAAATTTATATATGATTTTTGCGCAAATCATATGCAAATTTTTTTAAATTTTAAAGCTATTAGCGGAGATGTCCAGATTTAAATTTAAACTGTGCATGGGTTAATTAAAAAATTAAAATGCACAAGAAATGGAATTAAGATAGAGAAAATAAAAATTTAGTAGACAAGTGTCTGCAACCAATTGTTAATATTTAAAAATAAAAATAAAATGTTTGTATATTTCAGAGTATACCAGAAGCAGATCACGCAGAGAGGCAATATATCAACCAATGCAGAAAAGTTAAAGTCAATATCCAGCCAAAAATAGTTTTTATAGGAGAAAATATCGATTTGACGTGGGTTTTAGTGTCACATGTCAAATATTGTTTTAAAAATCCGTTGGAAGCAGTTACTGCATGCTTCAGTGTTTTCATGGGACTTAACATACAATATCCACCCGAATGCAAAAGAATCTGGTATTTTGTTCAAAATTACATTTACAAAATTACAACTAAATATGACAAGGATGATGCTGTATTGAAGACCTTAGCTTTAGATTTAGAATTCCTGCAACAAAATAAAAATTAAAATCTTAATAAGAATGAACAAATAGGTACGTGTAGAAACTGTATACATACAATTACTATTAAATTTAAATTTTATTTTAATAAGTTTAACGAAATTTAAATGAATTAATATAATATGTGTAACTTTTATAATTTTTAAAATGAATTTTAAATGCTTTTTATGTATTTCAAATTTTGATAATGATGTACAATTTGTTGATCATTTGAAGTTAAAACATGCAAATTCTATTCGTTTTCCATGCACTATCTGCAATCGAGTTTATGATAACATTTACTACTACAAAGTTCATTTAAAAAGCCATGCAATTTGTTCTAAAAATGATTTAAGCTCAATTTGTGATTCAAATCAAAGTGCAATTTATATTGCTAATACGATTTCAAATAACACCTCAGTTAGTTCAAAAGAAAAAATTTCAAGTCATGCAAATATTAGCTTTCGGAATGAATTCTTTAAAATTTTCATAAAATTTTATGCTCAAGAAGGAATTCCGCGGAAGTATTTTATTGATCTGATATCTTCTCTTAACAATTTTATCAACTATTACATAAAATCAAAGTGCGAAAACTCGGGAAACCAAGAACTGACAACGAGCATGGAAGTTTTATTCAATGAATGTTTCAAAAATGATATACCAACTTCAGATTTCAAAATGATTAAAGAATTGAAAAACATGAATTGTTATATCGAAGCTGAAACTGTTATATTACAGGAAGTTAGGGAAGAGTTTATTGACAAGAACAATAAAACAAATTACAGAATTGCCTCAAACTTTTCAAAAATAGTTTGTCCCATAAAATTGTTTTCAAAACTTTTTCAAAAAACTAATTTTTTAAAAAACATTTTACATTATTTGAATGAAATTAATTCTAGGGATGGAAGTTATATTTTTGATATAAAACAATCAAAATATTTTAAGCAAAAGGAAAATATTTTGAAAGAAACTAATGTTCTTTTTTTACCGTTAATAATTTATTTTGATGATTTTGAGGTTAATAATCCTTTGGGATCTCATTCCAATATAAAAAAAGTAGGAGGAGTTTACCTTAAAATTCCTTGTCTTCCAGTTAATTTGCAATCAAAATTGAATTCTATTTTTTTGGGTATGGTGTTTTTTACTGAAGACAGAAAAATAGTGGGGAATACAAAGATTTTCGAACCATTCATAAGAAAAATTAATCAATTATATACAAATGGAATAGATGTTAAAATTCAAAATTTCATTAAAGTGAAATTAATACCTACTATAATTACCGGCGATAATTTAGGTATTCATTCTATATTAGGTTTTAACGAATGTTTTACAGCAAACTACAGTTGTAGGTTTTGCAACATAAAAAAAGATGATTTGAAAATTTCAGTAAATATAGAAAATGTTGAACTTATTGATAAAATTAGTTATAGCAAAACTGTCTCAAATAATTTTGAAGCATCAAGTGTTAAAGAATTGTCCATTTGGAATACAATGTCACTTTTTCACGTAACAGATAATTTTAGTGTCGATCCGATGCATGACATTTTGGAGGGTATTTGTAGGTATGATTTGTTGTTGATCTTGAACATTTTTATTAAGGAAAAAAAATATTTTAGTTTAGAAGAACTTAATTATAGAATATCTATTTATAATTTCGGATTACTAGAAGTATGTAAACCCCCTTTGTTTGCAAACGATTTTTTTAACAAAAAGACAATAAAAATGTCAGCATCTGAAATGATGGTTTTCATAAAAAATTTTTCCGGACTTATAGGAGATTTAATACCTGATAACTGTTTTGAGTGGCATTTGTATATTCTGCTTCGAAAAATTATAGATATCATTTTTAGTGATTACATTCACAATGATATTTTTGATGAACTAAAATGTTACATTCAGGAGCATCATGAACTTTATTTGGAAATATCTAAAAAAGATTTACCGTGGAAATTTCACATTCTTCTCCACTATCCTTTCATAATGAGCAAAATAGGTCCTTTAAATAATATATCTGCTATGAGATTCGAAGCATTTCATCAAAAGCTTAAAAAAACTATTGCAGGTACTAAATGCAAAAAAAATATATTGGAAACGATTTGCGTTAAAAATGGAATACAAATGGCAAATTACATATTAAATTTCGATGATATCACAAATTTCCCTTTGAAAATTAGTGCGTTAAGAAAAGTTAATAAAGATGTTTTTGAACGATATAAATTTACAGCGAAAGATAATGTCTATTCGACAAAATTTATTCGGTATAATAATTTACCTGTGAAGGTTGGTATGGTAATTTATGAAACAAACTCACAACTTGCTGTTGTAGATTATATCTTTAAATATGGCGAAAAATTGTATTTAGGCTTATCTTTACTGAAAGAGATATGTTTTGACATGCATTATTATGCTTATGTTGTTGACAACACTAATATACGCAAAACAATTCCTGTAAATGTAAATTGCATAACTCGTACATCGTATATTAACCACACTTCAAATGGTCAAAAAATAGTTGTACTTAATCACATTTTACATGAAATATATCAAAGTAACTTATAAGAATAATTTTTTGTAAAAAATATGTAAAATATGGAATATGGAATTTTGTTTTTGTAAAAATTAGGTAATAAGCAATTATATGTCATAAATACTGTGCAAATATTATAAAAATTATTTTTCTGTGTAATAAAATTTTGAAGCTAAATTTTTTTGTGTTATTATTAACAATTTTTACTTTTTAATACAAAATTTTTTTTTACAAAAAAAGATTTCTAGATATTTTGCATTAGATTAATCATGATTGATTTAAGTAAAGTTTGAAAATTACTTTTAAAGAAAAGTGAGGCATGAGTTTTTGAGTTCAATTAAACTTACAATAATTTTAAAGTTTTTTGAGGAGAATTTGTGAAAAAAAATTTACTTAACCCCCTAAAATTGATCAATTTATGTTGCGGGGAATAATAAGCAAGGTGCTATTGTTATACAGCATGACAATGAAAGTAGAAGAATAGGCTTTTCAATAATGCTGTATACTGTACCTGTTAAGTGGGTTACAATTTTAATAATATTACATAGTTATTTTAACCATACTATGGTTACAAAATGAAACTTTTATAAGGTTGCAACAATAATGTTACATGGTTCTTGTAACCATACTATGGTTAAAAAAATCAACATTAATAAGGTTGCAACAACTATGTTGCATAGTTGTTTTAACCATATTATGTTTAAAAACATTTTCTTTATTTGGTTAACTTAACCATAAATCTTAGTTAAGTTAACTATAATATGGTTAAAATTTAAATATTTTTATGTTTGTATCAACCTTAATATGGTTGAAACCCAATTATTTTTATTTTTGCAACAACCATGTTATGGTTGTTTTTAACTATATTATGGTTAAAATTTGTATATAACAGCAACCATAATATAGTTAAACGCAACCATAATATAGTTAAATACAACCATATTATGGTTAAATTTAACTATAATATGGTTAAAATATGGTAAATTTAATCATAATTTATGGTTGAAACAACCATAATATAATTAATTTTCATCGAAAAGTATATAACAGCAACCATAATTTATGGTTAAAACTTAATCATAGTATGGTTCTTTAAAATTATGGTTAACTTAACCATAAAATTTTTTTGTGTGTAATAAATATAAGTTCCTATATACGAAGATAATAAAATTAATTAATAATTACATATTTGCAAATTTTAGATTATTCAAAAGAACCACATTTTTTCATCTGCACAATATAATGAGCCACTGCAAAAACATATGCAATCTAAATTGAATTAAATAGTAAAATATTTCAAGAAAATTTATATATAATAAGCACTTGATTTCACATTACATATCGAACTCATAACTAAATTATTTAAATTACAACTCTCGAAACAAAAAAAAAATTATTATTCAGATTGCGAGAAGCAAATTATAACAAAGTTTAAAATATCAACAGATTTTCTATATATACACACAAGTATTAATATCAAATTTTCAATTTATTTTATGTAGTTTCCTTGCAATGTTCTTTATCATATTAAAAATATTCAATTAACAACTATATGTATAACACTACTTCTGTATATAAGCAAATAATGTGCAAACATCGCACATGATGTAATTTTCAATATCTTGTATATCAAATAAAATTATTATATTCGGTCAAAAGATTTTAATAACAATTTTAAATACAACTATATAGCAGAAAATGATAAACAAAATTGAAACAACACAGCACGGAAATGAACAACTATACACTCCTCCAAACTTTACATATACACTTTATAGTTTCATTATAATATGTACAATCTTTAATCATTGATGATATCATTTTGATTATATTTTATACAGTAATTACAGGATACCCAATTATAATAGTGCGATATTATAATGAAAAAATCAATGTATTGCAAATTTTCTACATATACATATAAGTGCAAGTACCTTCATTCTCATAGCTATAATTATTTTATTAAAAAAAGTGGGCTTTCAACTCAATTCAATTTTATTTTTGATTCTTTATGCTTGTCTATTTTTTTTCCTATTTTTTAATTATAAATTCCTGTAATTCAAGTCATGTGCAATAAAGTAATGACTTTTTAAAATGATATTTACATAACTTGATATTTACATAATATGGTGTTGATTGAATACCCTAAGGACAATCAGTCATACATGTTACAAAATTTGAACATATTTGTGGTAGAGGTTAAATATGAGCTTAAAATTGACAAATTACAATAGAAAATTGGTGAAAATTTAATTGATCTCCCATGTTGAATGGATGTTCGAAATTATAAAACTATTTGGAAAATGAGAGAGAATTAATTCAAAATAGCTCTCCTATTAAATTGCTCTTAAATACTGTTATCATTTATTTGTGTGAACTTTGTACTTATTAAATTAAATCTGACTCATTCAGAACCTGAAAAGGTATTAAAGACCTCAATTAATCTGCAACTAATTATTAATTAAAAAATATTTTCCTGCCCAATTTGCTATAACCAATTTGTTAATTTTCAGTATAAACGGA